GTATTAAAGACTGGGTCACCATTCATTTCCAGATTCAGATGCCACTGTCAACTAGACGGAGTCGAGGGCCTTCCTATCGGCGTCAAATTGAATTGAGACCAGATCAAAAAGGTCATCGGGGTTCTCAAGGGGCACTAGATCGTCAACTATCACTTGCACGAGATTGTAGTATGATTGGTTACAGTGCAGGCCATATTTAATGGTTAGCCAATAGACAGCGCCTACTTAAACCAATCACGTTTAAAAACTGCAAACTTAGCACTTGGCGGGCGACCACATGAAAAACGGACTTGAATCAGCCGTTTGGACAAGTGATTTGTCACTCCATTAATCGGTCAGGAGACGAAACACGTCGGGCAACTTTTGAGTTTAAAAATTTTAAAATAACAGAATGTAGAAACCAGCTCTATAATGGAACCGCGAACATTTTGCAATACCCAATGCCTAAAACTGCGCTACCCTAACGAAATTCAATTCCCAACTATTATCCTGGGGAAAACCATCCTAAAACTCGTTTCACATCATGACAACGCTACACACCTGTTCCCTTATAAAAATTGGAAAAAAATAAAATAATATTATAGAGAGGTAAATTAATGTTGCGCCACTGTGCTCCTTAAATTGAACCACCAGCATTGATAATGTATGTTCTAATATTGTCTTCTTTTAGAGCGATGCATTGTTCCCAACGTTTCCCCAACACTTCTGTACCTCTTTCCCGTTGCCTCCAAAAGGGTTACTCGTAGCGGCAGTTTCTTCATCATTCGAGCCGTAACTGTTTTCCTGAAGCATCCTTTTTGAGATCTAAAAGGCGAGTAGTCACTAGGTGCCAGATCTGGTGAACATGGTAGATGCGGAAGCAACCCGAACTGCAATTCGGCAATTTTTCTATTGTTTTATACGATTTGTGCGAATTTTGATCATATCTTTTTTTTGGCCATTTGAGGCCAATTTATTAGCTGCATATTCCTGCTTCAATCAATCCAATTCGTATTATAACAAAACAGTCTCGTTAAAATGTATTGAAATTTTTTAGTTAAATAATAAAGTGTTAATTGTACACTTTTAGAGCTCATTGGTTCAATTTTCAGCTAGATGACTCCGCCTGTAGGCATTTAAAATTTATGCCTTTGTTTACCAAAATTTATCTGGCATGTGCCTTGTTAAAAAACCTGATTTTGATAACTGCGCTCGGTCTGGCTTTTGCCCAGGAGCCAACGTGTTTCGTTTGGAAGCTACCCTCAAAAACTGGTGAATTTTCTTCTTTAATTTTTTTCGCAGAAGTCATAAGAGTTGCAAAGACTGGTGGGACGTCTTTGAATAGGTTTTGGGGTATGTCCTTTCCGATTTTCTTTAGGGTGGCTCCCAACCGAAACACGTTGAACCCTCGAATTGTGTATCCTAGTGCCTTTGACATTGGAAAGTATAAAGTACTTGAAACAAAGCAGGGTTTGCGTCTGAATTGTAACATAACTTTGCATAGGTAAATATTAAATGAACAAGCAGGGAGTGTCAAACATTCAGCAATGCCTAATAGTGTGTTGCGGATCCGAAAAGTACCTAAAGCATGAATTTTTATAATTAAAAAAACAAATGTAGAAGGTACTCTTGCAATTTTCCCATCTTGTTTTTATTATCTCGAAATATTCCCCTCAGAAAATACGAGGCTTTCATGTTTGTTTAATGGTCTATACGCAATCAGTTTCGCATGTCATATACGTACTATGCATTCGGACAGAGAAGAAATATGTGTCAGACTAACATTAATTTTGTGCGGCAGATACTTTTGTGCGATGTACCATAATTTAAACATTTCGCAAAGATAAATGGGATCCCATAAAAAATTTACTTTCATTAGTTTGAAGTCAATTTGGCCTTAGTAAATACACCACAGGAGAGAAAATAAAACTGTTCGCATTTATGTTCACTTATTGTGCAGGAAAATGAAGGCAGGAAACAGGCATGCGTTAGCGGATTTATATTTATTTAAACAGAGCGCTAATAAATTCTGTTTTAAAGCATGTACTGCAAACGCTACTGAAGTGAAATGTAGAAGGCACGACGTTCTGTCAAAGGAAATCAGTTAATTGTTCTTCTGATTTTCAAAGCGTTCCTGAATATGTTTGCAACGATTTGTCCGTTTGTGTCAATTAAAATAGGTAAATCCCTTAGCTAATAGGTATGGCTTAGTTCCTCGCCATAGGTCATCCCTGGATTGATTTGGAACAGTGAAGCATGAGCGATCGTTATAAAACAGACACTGTTAGTGGATTACAGCGCCAGTTTTTTACATTTCATATCTTATACATTCATAAAATTCCTGTCCACTTCACTAATAAAGTAGGTAACGGCAGCGTAATATAATAAAATTAGATTCTAATGTCATTCAGATTAAAAATCGTATTCCTTGAGACTGTCCTGACATCATTATTAAATTCCTTGTGAGCAATTTCCTTATAATCCGAGATATGTGAAAAGTAGGTACGGTATATTTAATCTGCATGTCGTCCAGGAAATTAGAAAATATTAAAAATCGATGTAATATGTGGAAGCTTGCGAATATCTTCATTATGACATAAGTTTAACATTATACCTAATAACAAAATTAAAGTAAATGTATCTTCCTTCTACTTAGAACAGTTTATAGACTGAAATCTGTTGCTTCTTCCGTTTTTTACGGGGTTGGTAGAAACTATTATGGCACATTATTCAAGAATTGTGTAAATGGTTCATAACAAATATTGATGTCATTACCTTAAATTGTGTCAAAATGTGGGTTTTATCAATTAGCTCAATCGAATGTCGATATACCTTATGGTTTTCGTATGCATAAATTTTATTTGAATGCTTTTTGACCCCGGAAATCTGATTCCAATCAATCTCTTCCTCAATGTGGTTGATCATCAAAACTGAAAATTTTACTGCTTGGTTGAATATACTCGTATTAATTAACAATAACTTCTCGTTCATTCATGCAGCGATCCCAATCTTTCGCCAGGTCAAAGATCTAGAGTGACATGTTCGTACTGGTGATGTTGATGAGATTTCACAAATAGATGCGCGATGTTTTAGAAAGCGTTTATTATTTACGGACACCGGTCCCAATCCCTCAACAACAAATGTATATTCTCCGCGATGAACCGATTATTCCTTTTTCATGGACATTGGACATCAAAAAGTGCGCGTTTTACAAAGGAATTATTTACAAATAAGCACAAAGTTGGTTTATTTTACTTGAATTTGTGTCTCAGTGTTAATTTTCCTTTTCGAATTGTTTGTAATCGGGTATTTCTTTGTTTGAATTTTATCGCTATTGTAATTCATTCAATTTAGTTAACATGCTTTAAGTTAGACACATTTGGTTGAACTTGCGTGTTAAAATGTAGGCACATCTGGTCGTTTGCGATTGTTATCGGACGGGATTTAATTAGTCGGTTTTATGCACGGCGTTTTGTGTCGCGGAACTTGGCGCGTCCCTCATCAGGCACGTTGACAGTCACGCGTTCGTTCGATACGCGCATATGACATTTCGGTAAATCTCACACGTTTTTTTTACAGGAAGTGGAAAAGATAACGGAGATGCATATGTTAAAAAGTGCGCATTATTTTCGGCGTTTTTTCGAAGCTGGCGTTATTAAGTCTAATTATGATTGGCGGTATTTTTTTAAAATCTTGAGGAAGGAGATTATTTTATTGTGGAAGTGGTGTTTGGTTAACTATAAAGAATCAACGAAAAAGCGAGGCTGGCTATTTCACGACCGTTGGAAATCGTGTAGGTACGTTGGTTCACGCTATTTTTATTCGGGCTGTCCGCCCTATTTGATTAGTTGAAAACGTACTTTTAGTCTGGCAGATTTAAGTAAAAAATAGCAACAATTGCGTATTAGATGAAGAAAGCATGAAACTCACAGGTATTGATCAGGGTATAGTCCTGATGATTTTAAGATCGGGAGGCCTACAAAAAGTTATCAAAAAACAAAATGGCGGTTGTGCAAAGATTAGGCCTTACTTAATATGGGGAGTGCCTTATTCTGCAGGAACCATGAGTTTTTATTGAAACATGCTTCGGATCTTTTTTATAGCTCTTAAAAATACCTTTACAGCGATATATTACACGACTACTTCCTACTTCCGTTTACCGGAAATGACGTCAAAATCCGAGGTTTTCGTATTCATGCAGTTGCGTACTTTGGTTATAATTCAATAACCCCTGGTTTTAAGAAAACCATTCTTCTAGCCTTTCTAATAGCTCTTAAAAATTATTATATTGCACAAAATCCTAGTTTTTAGTATTTTAACTCCGCTAAACGCGAAAGAAACGGATACGGCCCAAAACGTGTCAGCTTCGTTACGTGTGTAACGTTCATTGCCACATATATTTTTTTCTTTTGTTTACAGATAAAGGGAGTACAGTTAATTTAAGTCAGATAAAGAAAAGAAGAATGGAAGGAGAAGAATAGGACAAGAAAAGAATAAGGATAAGAAAAGAAGAGGGAGAAGAATAGAAGGGGGAGAGGAATGGAAGGAATATGGATTGTAACGCACTTAACCCGTCAGTTATGGACTAGGAAAAATGTGCCCTTTGTCAATGTGTTTCATCCGAAAAACTAATTGACCCGGGAAAGAGCAAAGGTCTGACTCCCGAAGACTGCTACAAGATCCTGGAGGAAGTGTAACGGTTTTAATTCTTCTCACCGTTCATTTTCTCTATGCTACGGATTCTTACAGGCCGATATTAGGTTACGCCACTGACATATTGCAAATTGGGAATATTTTCTATGTTTTTGCGCATGTGCGTTATTCCACCGACACGTATTAAGCGGTGAATATTTCATTCATTGGTGCTTGCTTTAAAAACGAACAGGTGTGATGGCGTCTTGAAAATTTTCATGGGCATAATATAGTTACATATCGCCGAATTGCGGATNGTTTTTGCGCATGTGCGATACTCCACCGACACGTATTAAGCGGTGAATATTTCATTCATTGGTGCTTGCTTTAAAAACGAACAGGTGTGATGGCGTCTTGAAAATTTTCATGGGCATAATATAGTTACATATCGCCGAATTGCGGATTTCCGAGTCCATGAATAATCGATGTTTTGGAGATTGGTTTGTTAGACCATTTTATCCATTTACCGTTACGGGATCTGAATACATTTGCTTGACGTAAGTAACATCTGCGTATCATTTCTATTGTCACAGCCACGCTGTTCTTTTAGATAACGCACCTGTTCTTCGCATCACCTAAGCCAGAGCTTTGATTGCCGATAACCTCGAGGCATCTCGTTAATTAACGAGTTTTAAAAAGCCCTCTTTTTAATTAAGAGGTATGCTTAAATCTTGGCCAAAAACCAGTATTAATTCCGACATTGTTTTAGGGTTTTACTTTTCCTGTTTTTTTTGTATCGCACGTAATTATCTCATGTCAAACTTGTGGTCACGCATGGTTGGTTTCCCACTGCTGGACCTTATTGTCATCCGATTGTCCACCTAGAGGCCGATTGTAGCGGTTATTACCCGAGCTGAGGGCTCCCGGATATCCTGAGATTTGTAACCACAGGGGTGGACAACCGACACACGAAGAATCTTAAGGGGAGCAGGAACACCACGTAGCCGCCACGTTTCCGGAGAACGGTGAAATAAACTTAGCCTTTCGATATTAGTACTATTTGCTATTGCATAGGCACTCCTATTGTTAATCTTAAGCGAAGGGTTACGCTCGCATCTGGGGCACTTTACCGATCGGAGGTACAAAGTAAGGGGATAGGAATAATTGGTACATTTACGGGTCATACTGCTGTGGATCCCGTTGAATTTGTAAGCGCATGAGTACTCATACCGCCTTGTTAACTAAGCAACCCCGTACCACGTCATTAAAGTGTTTAGCTTATAATTAATGCCTAGAACTATCAATTTATGCAACACCGTTTAATCCAGGCTGCTTGGCCACTGCCGACCTAACTATAAAAAGGGAAAAGCAAGGGTGGGAAGACCATTTTGTTTGCGGATAGACTACTATTTGGGAAGCGTGGGTTAATTTAACCCACGGGCTTCGCATCGGTTGCCGCTCACTAATTTTTGCATGTGATATTACCTGTGGGTTAGTCATTAGTTGTTATATATATATCTACTTTAGTAGTCGATTTTATACATATTTATTGTTACTTGTTATACTGTGTGTTTTGGGGTACCTTAAATTGATTCTGTGATTATTTGCATGTGTAATTGCAATACTGTTGGTTACCAATTATACTATCACCGTTGAAGTTACCTCCAGTGTTTTGAATTATTGCTCGTTCCTACAGGGTATTTATTGCCCTGCCGTGGTATCAACCTTCCTTGTTCAGGTTGAACCGAAGACCTTCTCTAGTAGTGAACAAGGTGGCGCCCATTTATTGTTTGAGGTGGTAAGTCAAATCGTTAGTCGAACGCCCTACCCTGAGTATTATAGTTTCGTGTGGTTTAATTTAATTGAGCCGCTAGCTGAGGCATCCCCTTTATTTAACGTGGGGTTTGTAAATCAGCGCCACTCAAACTTAGCGTTACAGAAGTCATTAATTCATTCAAGAGCCTAGGAACCGTCCCGGTAAAGATAGACATATCACTACTAGATGAAGGGCGGAGGAGATACGTTAATGAACCACAACGCAAAGTGGCACAAGTCTTGAAGGGCATTCGGTTCCGGTTCCCTAAGCCTTTTTTTAGTTAGCGCTTCCATTGTCTTTGAGTTCCGCTTTAGGCGGCACGACTTGTGCCACTTTGCGTTGTGGTTCATTAACGTATCTTTTAACCCCCGCCCTTCATCTAGTAGTGATATGTCGATCTTTACCGGGACGGTTCCTAGGCTCTTGAATGAATTAATGACTTCCTCCAGGATCTTGTAGCAGTCTTCGGGAGTCAGACCTTTGCTCTTTCCCGGGTCAATTAGTTTTTCGGATGAAACACATTGACAAAGGGCACATTTTTCCTAGTCCATAACTGACGGGTTAAGTGCGTTACAATCCATATTCCTTCCATTCCTCTCCCCCTTCTATTCTTCTCCCTCTTCTTTTCTTATCCTTATTCTTTTCTTGTCCTATTCTTCTCCTTCCATTCTTCTTTTCTTTATCTGACTTAAATTAACTGTACTCCCTTTATCTGTAAACAAAAGAAAAAAATATATGTGGCAATGAACGTTACACACGTAACGAAGCTGACACGTTTTGGGCCGTATCCGTTTCTTTCGCGTTTAGCGGAGTTAAAATACTAAAAACTAGGATTTTGTGCAATATAATAATTTTTAAGAGCTATTAGAAAGGCTAGAAGAATGGTTTTCTTAAAACCAGGGGTTATTGAATTATAACCAAAGTACGCAACTGCATGAATACGAAAACCTCGGATTTTGACGTCATTTCCGGTAACCGGAAGTAGGAAGTAGTCGTGTAATATATCGCTGTAAAGGTATTTTTAAGAGCTATAAAAAAGAACAGAAGCATGTTTCAATAAAAACTCATGGTTCCCGCAGAATAAGGCACTCCCCATATTAAGTAAGGCCTAATCTTTGAACAACCGCCATTTTGTTTTTTGATAACTTTTTGTAGGCCTCCCGATCTTAAAATCATCAGGACTATACCCTGATCAATACCTGTGAGTTTCATGCTTTCTTCATCTAACGCACAATTTTTACTGAAATCTGTCAGACTTTGTCTTTATTATAATAATTTTGTGCAGAAGCAAGTGAACTAAAGCTGTTGAGAAGATTAAAGCGGTTTGTTCGTTTTATGGAAAAGCCTGTCAAGTTGAAAAAGCTGGCTGTTGTGGCACGTGAGGCCTTCTGTTATGGTTCTCTTGTTATTAAAAGTTTCTAGAATCTAGAGATCGTTCCACGACTAAAAGGTGGTGAAATGCTCGTGGGTAAATCCGAAATTTTGCGATTGCACGAAATAAATTATACTTGTCAGATGTTAATGAAAGGTTATGTGGTTGATCTTTTAGAATTTTTTGAAGTTGATTGAGACTACCGAGTCTTCAAATAACTAATTTAGATCAATATTGGCATTTTTCTTCGTGGCAGATGCCGGCAGTGTACGGAGGGAGATTTGTTTGAGCTAGGTGTTTTGTGGGTGGTGTAGTTGCCCGCATACCATTGCAGACAGCAATATGCAATTTTATCCATGTATAAGATTCGAAAAAAAAATTAAAATGCAAAGGACGCTCCCGTTACACAATCATTTACTACCATTAGCAACTGAACTCCCGCACTCTTAAAATTCTTTGCCTCAATTTAGCTCTTCATATAAGTTATACTTGTACTGGTCCTGGTTAATAAAATAAATTGGTGGTCATCCACACAGAAAAACCGAAATTTTCCGATTTTGTTTTTATTTTTTGCTGATGTTATTTAAACAGATACAACAAGAAAGACAAGAGACACTTTCTCATTCCCACTTTTTGAGCTCCACAAGACCACGTTAAGAGATTTTCAATACAACGTTTCGTTTCAGAGAAATCATCAACTTCATGTTTTTATATGGCCCATAAAAGCAGTACACCCTGTATTGAACAGCATTTTTTATTATGAATACAACGATGTACAACACACATACACAAAAATAAAACTGTTGACGCCAACAGGCGGGGCACCTGCACACAACGCCCAAATCTTACGAGAATACCTATTGGACAAATTTCCTGGAAATTAGAAAAACTTGTTAGCTTGTTGCTTGCACGATTAAGATGTTGTGCCCGGGTGCCCCATCCTGTTGAAACCAACGATCTCCAACTTATGTTTTTATTTGTGTAATGTACATCGTTGTATTCGTAATAAAAAGTGCTACTAAATACAGTGTGTATTTTTTTCGCGGACCATTAAAAAATGGCATTTTTCAATTTAATTTGAATGCGATTGCGATCGCTTCTGTTGAAAGAACCAATCAGATGCTTAACCGTAAGAGACACCTTGCCCTTTTAGTTTTCCCTTCTCTCTCACCTACAGTACCTATCCGTGCTTAGCACTGGCGCGCGCATTCCATTTATTATTTGTCGATGGGCCAAACGTATCAATTACCTATTTATTATTATATATTCCTATGAACGTTTGGCGTTTAGATATGATCCCACAGTCGATTATGCCGGAGATAAATCGGTCGATTTTGGAAAAATGAACAAAATTTGTCAATATTGCAGTGCTTTGAGGTTGCAACTAGAATCTGCAGGATTATGAATTCATTACTGTAACAAACATCATACACATCCATTCCAACATATAACCACGAATATGAAAATTATAAACACCCCTTAATTCTATATCCTCTTCTCTTTGCTTTCTCGCAATTGCAATTTTCTTCCTCTTCGGTATTTATCTTTGGCGTGCAAGTTTCTCTTTCGCTTTGATATTTTAGTGGCTCCATCGGCACGTTTTTACGGATGAGTATTTTGCATTTGGACAATTCGAGGTATTATTACGCAGCATATTTTTCTCATTACGTGTTAGTGTTTTAGGGATTTAACTTTTCTCACCCAATGCTTATAGTTTCTTTATTATTATTTCGTTTGAATTACCTTTTACGTTGATTTACATGGATTATACTTACCGCCCACCGAGTACGTGGATGATTTAGCATTTTTATTTGGACCCGTCATTTTAACAAGCTTGAGAGCGGCGCACGACGCCATAGACAAGTTTCTACCTTACCGGCTGCGAAAATTCTACTTCAATTCTACTAAACAGCTGATTTTACCTGTAACCTAATTAAATGAAGTTTGTTCATATTCGATATTGTTCTTGAATTGTAACCCCAAGTATATTTACAAAACCTTGGAGAACATTGTTGTTGTACCTATATCGCCCCGTTATACCTGACGCTACGTACTTTGTGTTTGTCGTTACCGAAGATTTGATTTTACCATACCGATCTTGTCGACGATCACTTTTGTTACTCCGTTAAATGTACCCATAGGAGTGTATGACCGAATGCGCCTTCAGGGTGTGAATAAAGAATGTGCGTTGGTATCAATGGGATTGAAGAAATGTCACTTTTTGCTTTGGTCGTGATAGTGACAGGTAAAAATTTTGCGAAAGGTGTATAAAACTTATGAAATTCCTGAGGCATCAAGTTAAAATTTTAAACATTTAAACCGTACAAAGATTGCGTTTTAATACTGTTTTTGATACGGTTCGGGATTAAAGAGTGTACACCCTGTGTGTAGAACTTATATCTAAAGGATCGGAAACCAAGTTTTAATAAAAAGATCTTTTCTAAACCGAACAGAATAAATAAAACGTACGTTGTGATTATGAGGGCTTTTCTGTTTAAAAGCACAATTCATATAATGTACTTAAAGTCTATAATGTGAGATAGGATGCGATGCTCAAGAGGGTAGGTAAGTCAAGAAAATAACGTGTTATTTTACAAATACTTTATTACCGTTGTCTTCACGAACAATCTAAATCGTTGTAATTTAGGAAATCTCTTTTCCAGTGAATCAGATTGATGCATTAAATCAAACCGGATCCTTTTTTAACCCTTTTAAATAAAACGTATAAATTTCATTCAAATGCAAATTTGGAAATTCGCGTCCTTTTGTTTTAT